ACAAGTGCACTTTTGTCAAATTCATAGATGGCATCAAAGTCAAGATGGCCCTGTAGATGTAATTAGCTCATGTTGTTGTCGTTGTTATGTTCCATTGAGTCAGACCTGACTCATAGCGACCCCTCCTTGGGTTTCTGAGGCAGTATCACTACGGAAGTAGATTGACCCATCTTACTTGTGAGGAGTGGCTGTGGGTTTGAACTGCCAGCCTTCTGGTTAGCAGTCAAGTGCCTTAGGCACTATGCCACCAGAGCTTGAAACCAAGTTCTCCATGTTTGTGTTTCTCTTTGCTGGACACAGACTCTCAGGCATGTCATTGAAGGTCTGTTTATTACCCAATCAGCACAGTAAAACTTTTGGTGGTGCTAACTTATGGCTTCCTTCTTTTCTTTTCTTTCTGACTTTTTATAGTGCTAACTTGTGGTTTCATTAGTGTGATCTTTATAGTTTTAGGAAATGAACATAAAATACTCACATTTTCCTTAAAAGATATGGATAAATAACATAGCCTAAAATAAAACAGAAGCCAGTACAACATTTATTCTGAATTAATAATCACTACATATTTTAATTTAGCTTAAAACCTTTTTTCTACAGAGTATTGTTTCTTTAATATTAGCATCTGGTCCACACTAAGATAGCACTAATTTTCATGAGAAGTACACTAATGGAACTTTTACTTTAGTAATTAATAGCTCATCCATTTAACATTTTTAAAGACAAAGCACTACTATGAATATGTAACATATTACTTAGGCTTTCTCTTGCACCTGTTCACAGATCAGAATAAACACACTGTTTAACTATTTAGAAACCTATGCTTTCAGATCGCCCCTGCATTCGTATCTCCATCGCTCCCCACCTGTGCTGCCCACGGACAGAATTACATGCGCTCTCCCCATGCTCCTGGCATGTGTATCCTCACCCCGACATGGCACTGATGCTGCATTATCTTGCGGTTTGCCTCAACCACGGTCCCAGTTCCTGCTGTCGCTACTCTCTAGAATGAGCTCTTAGAGGGCTGAGAGTCTGTGCCAACTGTTTGGCAGGAGTTACACCCGGCCTTTGGATTGGTTCATTCTAGTTCGACCCCCTGCTGATAATTTGCATTCCTACTTCAGATATGCTGAATCCGAATCCACATTTGTGAATCTTAGGTATGCATGGGCACCTGCAGGAATCACCCGGGGTCTTGGTGAACTATGGATTGTGATTCAGTACATCTGACGTGGAAATGCAAATCCTCAGCAGGGGATGGAACCCGAGGGACCAGTTCTAAGGAACAGGTTGGAATAAAACCCTGATTTATGCCTAACATTTGTGTTGAATCAAATTGAATTAAATCAGGACACACTAAATTTTGAAGCTTCCTTCTGGTAATTTTTGTTATTAAATAAAGATCACTGAAAATTCTACTTAGAGAGTGTATCAAAAAATGTATTAACTACAGTTTTGAATTCTGTAATAAGAAACTTCATGTTATATAATAAAACATAAGAATTTAAACCTAAATAACCTCAGACCTTAAATGAAGAATTTGAAAAGTGCAGTAATGGCAGTCAGAAAGTTAAACTCTGTACTGAGTATCTGATGAAATTAGGAAGTAGGCCTTACAAAGCAGAATCAAGTGGACAGTAAAAGGAGTTTTTCAGACAGTGGGATCCTAAAGCCTACCAATTGTTTAAAAAATTCTGCTGTAGACTCCTAAAAATTAGTTCTTAACTATAAAAAATAAGGCAACTTGAAATTAGAAATTTGTGGATGAGATTAATCTGGAGTGCGTGTGGAAGCCAGATTTGCCTGGTGCGCCTCATGATCCACGTGTCTAGCAGCCTTCACAGAAAGGCTGTTCACATACGCTGGTGAAGTAACCATCTCTGGGAAGAAAATCACAGATTGGAAGACTTCACTAAATAGTAGACTAATTAAGAGTGCCACAAACTTGGTGCTGTCGAATAGATCACCTTAAAAGCAAATTAATGCAGATAGCTTTTCTGAAGAACCCTATTTGTGCCACATACCTATTATTATTTAAAGTGGAGGAGGTGGCTGGGAACATAATTTCTGTTTAAAAGTTCTTTTGTTTTCTGCTACCTTTACTGAAATGTTACCAGGTACTATTTTTATCCTACAAAAATGCTCTGAGAGAATGTTAAGTGAATAGTGCTATATAAAACAAAGGAGGATTTTCATATTCGCTGGGTTGTAAGAAGCAAAGTGAGTAAGACTTGACTCTGACAAGGGGGAAGATAATATTCTGAAAAATTTAACAGTGGCCCATAAACCACCTGATCTTGAAAAATCCTGAAGCCAAAAAGAAATTGAACCCTGGCTAATTAATAAATATTCATTAAGAGCATTTATGTAATAGCAAATTTAAATTAAATTACTATGATATTCTTAATTGCCTCTCAAATGATCATTTTAATATTGTCAAATGGATGTGAATTGAATAAAAGCCTACTTCTATCTTGCATAAAAGGTCAAATTGCTTAAAATAAATACTATTATAATTTTAAAAATCTTCTGTGAGAGACTTCTAAATCATGTGACTTCTGCTTATTTCTATAATAACAAAACAATTTGGATCACCTTAGAAATCGTTGTAGTGATAGGATTTGGCCATGTAGCAGATATAATCAGATTGAGACTGATTAATTTCTGGATTTTTTTTTCAAACTGGAATCCTACTTATTTACCAGATATTCTCAATAGGAAAGAACGAAGAGAAACAATTTAACAGTGAATGTAAGTAGAATATACATCTTATCATAAAAAGAGTCGATCATAATACAGTCTAATAAAAAATATATCAAACCACAACTGGAAAAGTAGAAACCTAGGACTAGTTAGATAAAATGTTATTTTCTCAACAAAAAACAATCATTATACATATTTACTTGGTATCTCCTTTTTAAAATCTCAAATAAATATGCCTAACCTTCCCACATATTTTCAACAACTGGTAAGTGTTGTAATTTTTTGCTCATTCATGAGAGATTAGTAAAAGTTTACAATCCAAGTACAGTATTGGCTTGAGCCGTCCTTGCAGTAAATGAAGACTGGATTCTTTAGAACATTGTAAAATGCACCAACCTTAGCCAGGTTTTAAAAATGGTGCACTTTTAAATACGATGTTTGCTGGCAGCTGTTCAAGTCCATTAGCACCGCATACATTGAATTACTTTTAAAGAGGATGACTTAGCAGTCTTTAAAAAAAATATTTAAAAGCTGTATAGCTAAAACAAATCGATTTCTTGGGTTGTGTGTTTTGAAAGACCACCTTTCATCTTGCTAAATTGAGGATTTTTTTTTTTTTTCTGTCCAAATTTATAAACATGGAAGTAGGAAACCTGGAGAAATGCAATACGTATTTGAGGTACGATTTACATTCCAGCAAAGAATTTTGCTAATAATAATATGCATTATTTGGTTCAAATCCAAATTCAGATTAGTTTCTTCTGCCAGAGATCTCAATATGTACTTAAAAGATAGAAATGAAGAAGATTGTATAAGCCAAATCAGCACACATTTTCTATATGCAGTCCATTAATAATGCAAAAACTCACCCAGATCATTTAAAATCATCAAAGGGACGTTCTCTCCACCAAGACAAAGCTCTTTAACAAGTTCTGTACAACTTGAGTGGAAGCTTTTCATTCCTTCATCTACTGTTTTTAATAGTTGTGATTTGGGTGAGAGTTTAGAGAGCAGATTCATTTTCCATACAACAGTTCATACACATATTTCATCTACTTTCTAAGTAGTAATTAACCTGTCACTCATTTTGCACAATGGGGACAATGTAATATAAACCCTAACCTGTGAGGTAGGGAAGTGTGATAATGGTATTATGGTCATTTCACACAAGAAAAGATTGAAATGGAATTATTTTTTCAAAAAGATATGACAATCATTGATGAGATCAGATGCCCCCCTCTCCCCTTTTTGAATATCTGAATAAAAATGCAAACAAGCCCATCTCAGTTTTTTTTTTTTTTCCTCTCTCTCTCTTTTTGGTAAAGGATTAGCTGGATTGAAAATACTGATGAGAGAGTTAATTTTCAATACCCATGTAAAATGCTTTTTACTGGTCTCTCTCAACACATAGACACAATGAAAGAATGCTGACATTTAAAGCATAATGTGCTGTAGTGATAAATTTTCACTCTATTCAACCATGTCCATGGCTCATTATTGGTCAAAAATGTGTAATCTTTTCATTAAATGATGATGACACCAAAGGGCTCTGACTTCCAGGCTGGTCTTGACTCCATTCTTCCTTTGAAGAGGGGCTGATGAATATGGTCTTTACAGAAGTAATCCTCCAAAATGGATCCTATGTTATCTGTAATAATTGGTTACTCAGGAAGTTTTCCTTCTCCTGGATGAAAAATTATATTCCCCTCTTTTGTCATTGTTTTGAAATTAGTAAAATGCAATGCATATTTTGAGCTAAGACCATTGCCTAGGAGTATAAGAACTGTAAGTCACACATTCAGAGAAAAAGCTCACTATAGCTACTCACCATTTTCAACAATATAAAAATGCACTGTAAAGAAAAAAAAAAGTTTAAAACTGAATGCAGTGTTGGCCTATACACAGGGTTGAATTATCAAAAGGAAACCAGACTTTGTGACATCAGAGGACCAAAGAGCTTATGGCACACAGTAAGTGCTCGATAAATACATCTTCTTTTCCAAAAGCACTCCAGTATCCACATGCCATTCCAAGAACTCCCTTCATGTCACTTTGTATCGCATTCTGTACTGACTTCTCCGATCCAGAAGTGCTGCCATTCAGCGGTGGTGGTCGTTGGTTGCCATCATTTAATTCTATAGCGTGGGCTTTATCAACTTGACTTACTCTTTAGTACTTCTGGGTTGGAAGTGTACCTTTAAATACCACAGATGATAAATCTCTCATTTGCTAATGATTAAGAAATGCCACAAATATGTAAAATAATTCATGGAACCTTCTCCCATGATCTGCAAATGAAGTCACTGTAGAAGATTGTTTATTTTATTATCATCAGAGATCATTTCATTAACTAGCTGCTCTATAGACAACTGGATAGCGTTCTTGACGAGAGAAGAAGCGGTTTCTATTAAGAGCGTTTCATATTGTTCTGAAGTTCTCTCAAAACCACTATCGTTAGCAAAAACCCCTACTTCCTCACTTTTGATTGAAATTAAAAATTGCTTAGGGACATTTTTAGATTTCTTAACATCAAATTCACTGATTTCAGTGTCTGTAATAATAATAGCAATTGGCTCCACCCTTTTGCTTTCTTCTGGTTTGGGTTTCTCCACTTGGATCCCATTTTCTTTAATATCTGATCCACTAGTACTTACTTCAGTATCTGTAGGCTTACATTCTTCAGCTACAATCTCTGTACTTTCATGGTCTTTCCAATTTGGTCCACTCTCTAGGACACCGTTACTGGCTTCTTCCACAGTTTGCTGATCTGGGGTTGCAGGTGGGGGAGGAACATCAGAAACCACTGGTAGTTGATGGTCTGTTTCTGAAGTTTCAGGTGGACTTGCTTGCTCCTGCTGAACACCTCGTTTTTCCTGGATTGTTTCAGTGTCTTTTTCAAGAATTAGAGGTTCTGTGGGAATAGCGGAATGTGCAGTATCTAATCCAAGTTCTACTGAAACCACTTTCTCTGCAGGAGAAGTTAAGCTGTTGCTCACATTTGCTTCACCAGTCTCATCACCGTCTTCCTGTGAGATACCTTCATTTAGATCCTGGGACGACCTGGCCTCGGTTGCCTGGTCATTCAATCGAGTCTGAGGTTTTGTATCCAAACTTTCAGCCTCTCCCTGTACTTTCACGCTGCAGTCTGAGTGTTGTGTAACTTTGGAATGACTACTTCTTTTCTCACTTCTTGAGAATTTTATGCAGGGAATTTGAAGTCTGGATTTTGCCTTTTTCTCAGAACGACCAATGTCCTCAGCATTTATTTTAGATTGCACTTTAACCTCAAAAGGCTTTTGCTGCTTTGAAAAATCTGACCTTTTCCTTCGTGTCACAAGATTTTTGAATGAGGCCCAGGCCCCTCTTGGGGGCTGTGGTTGATCAGTAGCTGCTGCTTCATTGGCGGCTTCAGAGCCAGCTTTGGGCTTCGGTGCTTTGGCTGTTTTCTTCCTTCTCTTGAAGCAGAGCAGGGGCGCTCTTTTCTCTGGCCTCTTGTCCTGAGGACTAACTTTCCTTGATCTCTTCTCATCCTTGTTTTCTACTTGGATTTCAGAAACTGTGGTCTCCATTTTTACACTACACTCTTTCATTCTAGAGAAAACAGTATTTTCTCTTCCTTAGCAGGCTTTTATGACAAAAAGGTAGACAACATCATACAAAGTAAAATTTCTCCCAGGTGTTTTCATTCCTTTTGTCTTGAGACAGTTGTTTTAGGTGGTTTCAACAGTATCAAAATGCCTGATTGCTCTTTCTTGTAATTTCTCTCTTTAATTTCTTCATGAATGACCTTTACTGGTTAGATTTTGTTTTATTTAAAGATCAACCTGATAAGAGAAAAGAGAGTCATATTTTATTTCACTGTTAGCCAATATTTTCTATAGAGACTACTTCAGTTGAAGGGATATGCCTGTACCAGGCATGCTTCTCATATAATAATTTACCGAGATGACCAGAGAATAAAAATTGGGGTTTACTTTTGACCTATCAAAAAGACATCAGTGTGAATCTGTTTTGCTCTGTTCTTTTTGTTAAAACTTCATTTCAGGTTATCCTGCAAATCTGATATATTTGTCAATTCTTTGTGTGGTGTCTTTATGAACTGTATGACTGAATTGTAAGTTTAACAAACAAACAAAAAATAAAAACAACAACAGTGAAGGTCAAAATGTTAAGCAAGCTAATGTAATTTTTATTACTCCCAATAAAGAACTCTGAAGCAGCAAAGGACCTCAGATTATTCAGCTATTCCAGATTATTCCCTCAAATCCAGTCAGATGATGAAATTGAGCTCCAGAGAGGGCAGCTGGCCTGCCAAAACCCCACACAGTTAGTTAAAATGCAAGAATTTGACTCTCCAGCGTTCCTTCCATTTTACCATAAGGTTTTGTTCTAAAAATGTATGTTCCGTCAAGGAGGTGCTATTCTCATCTCTTAGGGAAATTTAACATTACTGCCGTTCTCTACTCTTAAATTTAGTTGTAGGATTGTGCCATTTCCATCTAAGAATCTTATATTCTTTATCTTAATGAGTCTTACTTTACCTTACATAGTTGAAGGTCGTGCTAAATACTTCACATACATTTCTAACCCTCACCACGTCATTACAAAGTGAGTAGGTGGAACTCACTTTGAAGAAACTGAGGCTTAAAGAAGTTAAGCAATTTGCCTGCGATTACAAAGCTAGCAGGCAGCAGAGCTCAGCTACAGCCCACCACTGGGTTTCTGAAGCCCATTCTTTGACCCACTGTGATAAACGAGGCTCTTAGAGTTTCTTCAGAAGGTGCATTGCTTGGAGATGCTAATCTGTACTGGATATATTAGTCAACATTTTATAACGTCGTTTAATGGTCATTTAATTAACCATATCATCAACTTATAAGTGAACTAAGACGAGACTGAGTCCTTACTATTTTAAAAGCAAGCTTTTGAAATTCTTTTTTTTGGGTTCTGAACTCATTTAAAAGCCAGATATAAATTGATAAGCTATGCAATTGGTACATTGATTAGTAATATGTAAAGATACATTTTAAAATTAACTCACAAAGTCGTATACCAGTGCCAAAGAGCAGAGATGTGAAATGACCCTTTAACAAAATTCCTATGAACTTTTGTTGATGGATGTACTCAAACAAGTCAAGGGGCTCCTTCCTTCCTTATACTGATTTTATAATACAAACGTCTCACTGTTGAAGTTTCATTTGTGTAGCCCTTCATCCTAAAAACCAGAGAAGGAACTGGAATCCTGAAAATCAGTTTGGGTGTTGCACATTCCATGCCTCTGACAGAATGATAAAGTCATTCAACTTAGAATAATGACGGAACTGAAATAAGACCACCTTATGCTCTCATGGAATGGATGGCTCCATATGCACCAGGGCCACAGCTGATTTTAGCTTTGTCTAAGTCTTCTCACCTCTTGTGAGTTCTCAGCACCCGAGTGTTTTTATCAGGCAGATGATTTATTACTGATAGAAGTAATGAAATTAGATCATCTTTAGGAATGCACCATTTGAAACCAACCTGAAATGGCCAAAGACAATGTCTTGAGGTGCTCTCTTGAATATATATCACGTTGTAGAAATGAGACAAATAACCAGCCCCAGCTGAAATGGGGGTGGGGTGGGGTGGATGCAGTCTGCAGACCTTACAACTTTGCAGAAGCCGTTAGACTGCAAATGATTCACCCTTAACCTGCAAGGGTAGTTTTGTCACTTTAGGAAATCTCAAGTCTCTGTAGTCATTCTCTGACAATACAAAGCTAAGGCCACAGAAAACATCACGCTCCCCCATTCCCCTCCGGAGGCAAAGAGCAGGCATTTCCTGAGGAAAGCAGCGAATCTTTCCCAACATCAGTTACGGACCACGGAGCTTCCTCCTGGAGGCAGGAACCTCATTCTGGCTGGACACCCCTGAAGGCAGGAGATAGAGTGCAGGATAAAGTACTCAAAACGGAAGGTGCTGGGGACGTGGAACAGAAAACCCAGCTTCGAGCTAGCTGCAGCACTGGAATGACCAGGAACCCAAAATCACATGTCCCAAAAAAAGGGAAAAGGAGGAAAAGAGTAACGGGCAAAACCTATGCTTCTTCGACGAGCTGTAACGAACGGGGTGAGGGCAGAGCCGATGAGGGTTGCCTGGCTGGTCGTCCAGTGAACGACCGACCTGCCAGCTTCTTACTCCTGGCCATCTCAGGAGCCCGGGTCCCCGTCCAGAGGGCAGCTCCCGCCTAGCAGCGACCACACACTGCCTCTGAACCTCCTTTCCCGCAGCCTCCTACTGCCTCTACTTACGGAGGAAGGCCGGGGTCCCTGGCCAACCTTGTTGCCGAGATCGAGGCGTGCTCGCGGGGCCGGGGCTCAGGCAGCGGGGAGCCTCGGTCGCGTCCGCGAGCAGCAGCCAGCTGCAGAGGGACCGCAGCCGGGAGGCGCCCCCTCCCCAGCCGCGCGCGGAGCCGATACCAACAAGCGGCCGCGCCAATGCGCGCTGAGAGGCGGGCGCGGGGCGGGGCCGGGGCCAGGAAGGGGGGCGGTGGTGAGACACTGCGGTGGGGGGAGGCGGGAAAAGAAGGGACTGGGGGCGATCCAGAGCCACCTGCGAACCGTGTGCAGTGCCGCGTGGGAGAAGACCTTCTCGCTCCTAGCCCAGGCACGAATCCCATCAGGGCAAGGGCCGCGGGACCACCAAGACAGCAGGAAGATGCCAAGGGGTCAAGGGTAGTGAGCCCGCATTTTCTGAGAAGCCAAGTAGCAAAATCTGGTTTCAAATTATAGGTAGTCCCATTATAACCTCCTTATCCCCCGCCCCCTGGATATTTAAGGGCACAACAAATACTAAAATGTAAAAAGCAGGGTTTAAAACTGTGGGCTAGAGTGAGATGCCGTTTGTTTGGGGAGAAATGACATACGTGAATCAAAACAGTAACAAAACTTTCCAAGGAATGGTTTGGGTGTAAGGAGGTACGTATTTATGGTGGTCCACTATCAAACAGCCTCTCAGAAACCTCAGGCCCAGACGCGTCTCCCCAGTCTAGTGGGTAACCCGCAAGAAGCTGTGGTTCGCGGGAGGAACTGCAGCCATGTTTCCAAGGGCTAAAGGGCACAGGAACCCACCTGATCGTTCTTGTAAAGTTTATATAAAATCGCACTTGCTCACAAGTTACTCCTGTTTCTCTTTAGGTACTCCTAGGTGTCTGCTTAATCTTGTTCTCAGTCAAGCAGGGCTTTCCTCACAATTCTACTCCCAATCAGGAAAAGGGACACAAGCAACATCTACTTTCTGATTGGCTAGGTTCTGTATTTTCATACATTTCCCAAGCCTTTATCTAAGTAAGCTGCTATAGCCACAGGGCAAAGCACCACACGTGTGTGTTTATCATGCACCTAGAGTGTTAACTTATACCTAGTGAAAGATGCTGCATGAGAGCTCACAGTGACTGACCTTGGGTTTAATATTAACCACAAGGTCATTCCTGAGCTGGAGCTGTGAGCTCCTGTTGGATGCACCACACATACCTGAGGACAGAGTGTTCCAGGAAGGGCCACAAATCCTGCCTCTTCCCCTGGCCCCCTCCCAGAACACCATCCAGATGAAGAACCTATTAACATGGGAGGAACTACTGGACTTACTTCCATTCTTCAACAGGACAGTGATCTTTGGGAGGATAAATTGGTTATTCATCTTTGGGAGTTTTTCGGGGTTGTATTTCACCCTTCTGTACCCTCCACTGACACTCGTTAAGGAAAGAACTCCTAGGACAGGAAAGCAAAGCCGAATCTGAGTTTTCAAGCTCTTGAAATTTACACATACAAGAGCTGTAATGCAGGAAACTCCACAAGCATCTAGTTTACTTGTAATTAAGAATTTAATGCAGCCCTGTTCATTCAGCAAATACAAATTGATGAAAATGTCCTTCATATCCTTAGATGTGTTGCTAACCCTGCTCACTGCTAGTTTTGAACTTTAGGAAAACTGCATCCGCAACCAGTTGAGATGCTAATCCTCAATGAGCACCAAGGTATCTGAAATCTAGCACATCTGGGGGTTTGCAAGTTTCAGCTTATTTGGATGGCCATAGTGTAGACTAATTGTCTCATTAGGACATAGTGGGAGAGGAAGGAAGCAAGGGACAGGTTGTAACAATAGAGGCCACCTTAGGGACTCGGAGCTCTGGTGGTGTGGTGCCTAAGGCATCTGACTGCTAACTAGAAGGCTGACGGTTCAAACTCACCAGCCACTCCACAGAAGGAAGATTGGGCAATCTACTTCTGTAAAGTTTTACCCCCTCGGAAACCCAAAGGGGGTCACTATGAGTCAGAATCAATTCTATGGCAGTGAATTCGAATGACTTGTTGATGTTAGTCTATTTTCTTTTCTATTAAAAAAAAAAAATGCTGGGGAAAGGAAATAGAAGCTATTTTGAAAAAAGACATTTTCTTTAGTTGAAGGGTAATTAAGGCATATTTCTTTAAGGTATATTACATATAACTCATCGCCACCCTCCACCACACACATGCAGACTCACACACTCACAGTACTATAATTAAATGACTGCATTGTGGTTTTTTATTAAAGTGTGACTAGGATCTGATGCCATATCTATGATGTCTTCCAAATTGTATCCAGTACCTCATGCATGAAAGAAACCTGTCATTCCTGTATTCACGTAAATGACAGTTAGGCTGTGTAAGCTATTACCCAAATCATTGTCTACTACTCCATTAGTAGCTTTTCATTATATAATGGGAAACAGGCTATAAATATCTCTCTGCAATCTGAGAAATTATCCTACCTACAGCTTATCTTGTTAATATCACCAGATACAGTGTTCCAATAAAATGGATTGCGTATTTATCTGAATAATACTGATCATATTATTTCTCCCCATCCTAGTCTCTACCCACCCACAGCCCAGGTCCATAGCTACCAAAAGTGGTTTATAATTCACGAATAAGCCTTATATTTTAGAGACCCTTTTGCAAACAAACCCTCCAGCCCTTTCCTGTGCACACCATTAAATGAACCTGTGACTCTAATTCTCTTGTGGTTTGATCTACTCATGGGGGCACTGTGCGGGCACCATGAGGGTTGCACCAGCCAACATGAGCTCAACAGTAATTCTGCTGCACTCTGCTTTACAGCAGAGATACAAACGATGTAGTCTCTCTTGAATTGAGTGCGTGTAAATTATCAATGCATAGCAACAGCCATCTAAGATGCAGCTCAGAGGAGGTACCATATGTTTATCAGTAATATTAATTAGGGGAGGGAAGCATTAGCAGCCCAGAGAAGGGGAACAGGTGCAGGAAGGCCACTGATTTGGACTTCTGGCCCCAAGGTAAAGGTGCTGGATTTTTTTTTTTTTAGTTTCTTGGGTTTTTTTTATTAAAAGGTGCTGGATCTTCTCTGGCACCCCATACTAGTAGATAACACAACCATGTATGGGTGTTTGATATGGGTCTTCAATTACTTTTTGTTCTTTATGCTCTTTTATTATAGAAATGGCATCTGTAACCTTGTGATGCCTCCTCTTTGCATCCCAGATAGACCAGGAGCCTCCCCAACCTCTTTATTTCTCCTCTCTGCTTCTCCTACCTCTTATCACCTCTTGTTCTCGAAGAGATGGGCACAGCTTTCTACCTCTCCAAAGTGGGAAGTCCACCTGGCCAGGGTCGCTTTCTAGGAAGAGCTCTGAAAAGCAGTGTGGCAGTAAAGAGCAGAGGCTTTGGAGTCAGACCATCTGGAAACAAACTCCTGCCTAGGCAGCCTTAGCAACGCAATCCTGCTTTTCTTGTAAAATGGGGATATAAACGTAACATGCGGATTTGTTCTATTGTAACTTGTTATCTCTACACATTTCCAACCAAACGTATGAAGCTAAAGGCCATCTTTTTTGCAGATTCACTGCTAGGATGTTTCCACATGAGCTGCAAAGATACATATGAGAAAATTCACAGCCACGTTATTTTTATCAGCAAAAACCATGAAACAATGGTAAGTGGTTATCAACAGAAGACTGTTTAAATACTACACAGTCAAAAGACATAAAGTAGATCTTAATTGATGATGTAGTAAGATCTCCAAGATAAACTGCCAAGTGGAAAAACCAACTGATGCCATTTGCATTTGTACTGAAGGCACGTCTTCTACTTAGGAAAATTCTCACATCAGTGATAGTGCATTCATTCCAAGCAACAACTGATAAAAACAATTTGGAGTATTTATTCTATTCTGGTTTTATGTTTGGCTTACAAACCCTCACTCTTCCCCTTTCCTCCAACTATGCTCACCATTTCACCAGTATTAAGGATTTAAATTCACATTGCTTTAGGGGGATACAATGACTGAATGCCTTTAAGGTGAGGCATCCTTAACAGTCACTGTATCTGACACCAGACATGCCTGCTTCACTAGTCTGAAAACCTTCAGCAAATTTTCAGCAAGTCCCATTCCAGATGAAGTTTTATAGAACATTTTAACAAATATCAGAAATAATGAGCTCTGTATTTCTGTGCAAACAGGGCCCAACTGATGCTTTGGATATAACTGACATAATATTGAGTGTTTACAATGGGCCAGGCACTATGCAAACTGTCTTCAATAACTTGTTTCCTTATCTTCACAACCACTCTCATGACACAGGTACCAACAGTGCTCTCACTTCCATGGTAATGAGATGGGGTCAGAAAGGTGGGTGTAGGCTCTACTGGTAAAGCCAGTCTGCACTAATGACCCCTTGGCCATATGCCTCCCAAAGCACTGTTCCTAATCTTCTGGAGTATAAGTGACTGAAGCACAATGCTGATGTGAATGAACTCAGAGGATTCAAAACAATAAAACTAAGGACACCAGGAAAAACAGCAGGTGTTTAGCAGGGCACCCATGGGGATGCAACAGCCTCTGGAAAGATCTAATGCAGGAATACAAGAGTTTGAGAAGGGAGTAGAAAATAGGAGAGGAAGACGATAGATAGGAGATAAATAATGAGAAAAGGGACTAATTGAGGAAAAAAAGCATTCTGTAGGGAAGCAGAGCCCAGGCACCTAAAACCAAAACCAAATTCACTGCCATCAAGTCTATTCTGACTCAGAGTGACCTCCAGTGGGTGTTCAAGGCGGTAAATCTTTACAGAATTAGATCGCCTTATCTTCCTTCTGCAAAGCACTAGCTGGTGGGTTTGAACCATCAACCTTCTGGTTAGCAGTCAAATACCTTCAGTACAGCACCCCCAGAGCTCTGCCTAGACACCTAGCAGAATCTAATTATTATAGAAGTAATTATTTGCTGAACCAACAGAGTACAAAAGGCTAACCTAAGGTTAGTGGCATATATGAACATCCTTTTTGGGGAATTTAAAAATAAATGGTACAAAGTCTATTTACCTTAAAATAAGTGGTGCTAATGGCGCGATAGAAATGGAGAAACAACAAAGTTCAGGACAAAAACTTGGGCTCACCCAGGATGCCAAAGAGATTACAGCATACCATAAAAGCTATGATTTATATTAAAGACTGAGATAGTAAGATTACTTCATTTTATTCTATGGAATTTCACTAAAGTAAATAGACATGTGCACTATTTAAGATAATTTATACGTGAAGATGGGAACTAAGACCAAAAGAAGGCTTCCAGGGAGTCCACGGTGTACTGCAGAAGGTCTCTGGGGTAGGAGCTGACTTCTCTCAGCTTCCCCACACTTCCTAGCTTACAGTAGGCATGGAATAGACACTGCTCATACTTTCAAAGTAGATTCTTGAAGATGGACAATCTGTAAGGAAAAACAAACAGAAAATAAATGTTTCCTCTAGGCTCCAACTTTCTTCTTCTCTTCTGCATTGCACCATTATACTCTTAAATTGTCAAGGCTGTTAACATTTACATCCTTTTCCATAACCACCTCTTCCAGGATCTGCCCATAAGTTGACTGAAAACTTAGAAACAACACACAGTATTCACATTATGGCTATGTGGCTGCTGCTCAGGACCAGGCCAAGAAGTAAGCGTCGACTGCGTTTCCATGTGACAAGATGCTCCCTTGAAAAGGGTGTTCTGCTGGCGTCAAGCAAGCACAAATTCTCTCTTCTTACCATCCTTACAGTCGCTTACAATGACTAATACAGTTTGGTTCCGCCTGGACTTTTATTTTCTTAAACAGGGCCAGCCCTCTTGTCCTGCATTATATTAACCTTTATGATACCCTTTTCCCTAGTTCTCTTTAGTCTTTTGCAAGCCCTCCCCCTCCTCCTGGTCTACACTGGGTTTTTGACTCTAGGCCAGTGAGGCAGTTGTCAAGAATATTCTTATCCAAATCAAGTTTCAGCTTCTTGAATGCCATGTCTTTTTCACTCTTGGTTTAACTCTCCATTTGCTGGAGTACACTGCTAAATGACTTCTTAGGAAAAGGAGTAGGGGTGGTAAACCCTGGAGAACTGGAAAATACCCAGACAGATTTGGTTGGGTATAAACACAGGTGGGAAGTCATCTTTCCCTTTGAGGTTGGAGGGCATTCCTCCACTGTCTAAAAGCATCTTGTGCCTGATAAGAAAACAGGTACTGGGTCTAATTCTCATTTTTCTCATAGGGAAGCCAGTTTTTCTTCTTTGGAGAAGGAGTTTTAGGATTTCCTTCTTTGATGTTTTTAATTCCAACCAGAAGCATCTAGGGACAGACATTTTTCATTGATTGTGATGGGTACTTGGGGCCTTTCAAGTGAGACTTGTACCCCGAGAACTCTTGGGTTTGTCCTGTTTCCTTCTCTGTTCTACTTTCTGGGACATTTATTCAACTCTTATTTCCTAGCTGTCCATTCAGAGTACACAGACCTTTAGAAGGTCCTGCCCTCCACTATGCCAATCCAAACACAGAGCCTCCTGGGGCTCTAAGCTCCCTCCATCATTCTTTCTCCTCTACACTGTCAACCTTTGTCTTCCAAAAATGTGTGGAAATAGTTCATTCATTGGTTACTGCCAACTCTTATTATTACTCCCTCTCCTTTGGGTTCACTCCTCTACAATGAGTGTATTACTCTTTTGTGGTTTCATTTTCATTTCAGTGATTTTTTGGGAAAAATGTTTTGAAAGTATTCAAAGTTGAATTCTCAGAGCTTTTGTTTCAGAAATTCAGCCCTATAATTTCATATATAAGTTTCATAAGGAAAAAAGTAAAACTTTCAACCAGTACCAATTTACCTGTTTAGAAGAGTCCATTCACCTGTTCAGTTTCAGGGTCTAAATCAATATCATAGAAGCAGGGCCGGGTAGGGAGTCCCGGCATTGTGCTCATCTAGGAGATGTGAAACAGTATTAACAATGAACATAATCTTCTCTTCCACCTTCCCCTCCGATAGAAAGCCCACAGACAGAACATCATTTCATGGCTGTCAATAAAGGGGGCACATTCCTTCTGTTACATTAAAAATCAAGTCACTGATGCTGATATGAGCTCAGAGAAACCCTCCTGTTCTTCAGTAAAACCACATGCCAGGCTTCCAGACTGATCACTGCAATGGGAAATAGCAGGAGGTGCTTTCCCCTTGGGGGAGTTCTGGCACTATACTGCCTAAGGCATTTATTTGACTGCTAACTAGAAGGCTGGCGGTTCAAAATTACCAGCCACTCCTCAGAAGGAAGACATGGCAATCTAGTTCCGTAGAAATACAGCCTGGGAAACCCAAGGAGGGGTTGCTATGACTTGGAACCAACTTGACAGCACTGAGTTTGTTTTTTTCGGGGGGGGGTTGCTTTCACCTTTGTCCTAGAAGGCCAGGAGCTGGGAGGCTTAGGAATCAGTCATACATCTCCTCAACTCTCCCTTCACAAGAGCTGGGAGGCACTGGGCACATGCGCTTTTTTACATTTGTTTTAAAGGGTCTTGTGTAGATGCCCGTGCTATTTCTGCTTCAGCAAAATGACATGAGAAATTAGTATCCTTTAACTTGGGCCAAGACATTTCTGCCCACAATCTAGATGATTTTACAATCACTATTCTTACTGGTCCAATTTGACCATCTAAAACTTAGCTTGTAATGCTTATGAAATATATTTACACTTTTCCAAGACTTGGCTTTGACAAATATCTACTTAGATGCAAATCTGTATAGCTTGTAAGAGAAAACTTGGTATATTTTCATCTGTAACAACCTCCTGTATAATGAACACACACAAGTTCCAAATCAAATTCAGACAGGAAAACAGTGTAGGCTGAACTTTCAAAACTTAACTATAAAAATGTTATAGAAAAGAATGAGTCATCTTTAAGGATGAGCCATCTTTAAGGATGAGTCATCTGACACACAAACATCTATACTTTAGAAAAGCTAATTCTGCTGCCTAAGTGTCAATCAATACTTCTTAGGACACCCTAAAGGATCTGAGGTGGGTCTCCACTCTAGTAGTCTATAAAAGGTAAGTGCTGGGTGAGGAGACAAGAAGGAAGAAAGGAGTGGACTGGTCCTCAAACTTAGTAGAAGAGCCTGAAGGTGACACGATAAAGAGCAGACATGCACGCACACGTGTATAGGAAGAAAACTCCAAAGACGGTCACCAAAACAGTGATTCTATTTAGAAAGTAGGATTTGTGGTGATTTTTACTCTTTCCCAAAGAGAATTTCCCCATTAAACATTAATCATGGGAAAACACAAAACAATGAAACGATGATGTATATATACACATATGCACCTAGGTACGACAGTCTGAAAAGCATCCACCATGCCTCGAGACAATAGATCTCATACTCAAATCCTCTGGGTCCCAATGAGCAATCAGAAAGCATTAAGAGTAGTGACCGTAAAGCCATCTAAATTCTGTGTAGAAATGTATTGTTTCAAGTTAGAGCTGAAGCCCCCTTCCCCAGGACTCTGGTCCAGATAAGAGAGCCAGTCTTGGGCAGGGCGGGTTGTGTTTCTCTCCAACCTGTAGGCAGACCCTCACTGGCCAGACCACTTGCAGATTTGCTTTCATCTCCACAGTCACCCTCTGCGTGCAGACAATGAACATCACTGCGCAGAGTGCAACTACCGCTTTCAGCTGGCAGCTGCTAACAATTTCTCCAGAAACAACAACACATATTTCTGCATTATTCAAGGTCCGAGGTAAACTGTGTGGCATTTCTATTAAAAGAGAATTTCTCCAAATCCTAAAGACTGAGGAACACTGTAACAAGGTTAAGCTTCTGCCCTGTGGAGATGCTGGGAGAGGCATTGGGGCAGGTACTCATGTTGACCACATCACATACCTTTCTTTCGACTGTTACACAATGGTACTGTCTCACACTGACAGATGGGGGGAGCACAGCTCAACCTGCCCAAGATCCACAATGGCAGAGGTACGAACTAGATTAACGTTCCTGTCAAGCACTTTCCACTGTCTATTGCCCTTCTTGCCACTCTCTTACTACACTGACAGGGTAAGATCACTCTGAAGGGGCAGCTGATGGATGAGCTAATTACCTGAATTAAGCAATATGTCACCAAACTGTGACTGTGTCCTTCAACAACCCTCAACTTCCCTACAGCAAATCTCCTCCCTTGATACTTACCAAATCTGTAAGGTTGTGAAAGTATTTAACAACTAATTCACCTTAATAAGCAATCCCACTTTTCACATCTACAGGGTTCATTTGCATTTTAAATAGGGAAATTCCTTATTTAAAAAGACAAACAAAACAAACAACCCAATGAATTCCCTGAATTTTAGGCACTAGCTCAGGACCAGGGAGATGGAGAGCTTCTGTCACTACTACCTCAGACAGCTGTTGGGAGCCTGAGCTAATTAATGTGTGTGTGTGGTGCTTCATAAATGTTAGCTGTGCTATTATACACCATCATTACCACAGCCTCTCAATTAGGCCCATCCTGGATTCGGTTAAGGTCACGCTGTCCTTGGGAAACAGATTTTTCTGATTCAGTAGAAGCAGCTATGGCATCACACTGGAACTAACACCAAGAGAGTCCACAACAAGACATGAATCGTGAAAGGCCCTACTCCAACTTTCTCTCTGGCAGTGAACTCTGTCATTTAGTATTTGCCTGGTGGCTTCAGCAATGAATTTAAGACCAGAAGCGCCAGGTGAACAAGCACCTCTCTCCATCTGCAACTCTCACTTACCGTTCCCACTAAGGGGTACAGAAAGCCAGCCCCCACGCTGGCGCGGATATCACGGATGGGTAGGACAAAGCCTGTTGGCACACCTTTTTGCTCTGGGTTGTGAGACAAGGATAAGTGTGTTTTGGCCATGCAGATGGGCAGATTCCCAAAGCCCTGGGGAAAGACAGAAAGAGAGGAAGGAAAAATGAAAAGTGGACAAATATAACAAAAAAACACCCGGGCACTGTGACTGTACAGATTCTTCAATTTATCTGAACGCCTATCTCCCTTTGCATCCAGCTCGACCTCATTACCCTCCAGCTTAGTTATCCCAGATCAGAAACAGAAGCAGCTGAGGGAGGGAGGCAAGTACTGATAACCGTCTTCTACAAGTGAGTGTTTTCATCTATGTAACCAATTGAAAATGATAGTTTGGAGTAGATGTGAGGGTACAGCTGAAGGCAGTTCCTCAACATTTCAGTAAGCTATTCTGTATCTGGGAGCTAGCACAGTGCCTAAGGCACTTGACTGCTAACCAGAAGGCTGGTGGTTCAAACCCACCAGCCACTCCTTGGAAGGAAGGCTGGGCAATCTACTTCCGTAGTGATACTGCCTTGGCAACCCAAGGAGGGGTCGCTATGAGTCGGGTCTGACTTGATGGCACATAACAACAACAACAACAACATTCTGTATTTCCCCACAGGTTTTTCACATACTCCCCCACCACTCATGCTATGTATGTGGTGGTGGTAAGGCGCTGTAGAGTTGACCTCCTGTGCAATGGGATCACTGTTGAGATTTTCAGAAGGGTTATTTGCAGAAGTAGATCACCAGTCCTTTCTTTCTAGTCTGGAATCTTCACTGAAACCTGTTCATCATCATACCAGCACATAAGCCTCCACTGAGAAACAAGTGGTGGCTGCACCTGAATTACAATGACTAGGAATTGAATCCCGGTCATCTGCATGGGAGGCGAGAATTCTACCACTAAACCACTGCTGCCTTCCTCAAGATATGTATGCCCTGGATTACTATTTAAGAAAGAATTTCAAAGTAGAAAAAGAACTTGGGACCTGATCACCTAACCCAATCTCGTACTTCTGAGGAGACGATGCTGCCCAAAGAAGTAAAGCTGCAAGGGTCTGGCAGGGCCAGGGGAGCATTGGGGATCCTGACTCCAAGGCCGGCTTTGTAAAGAGCTGAAAGGGTGAACCAATTGAACACCTACCTGCTTTGTGTAGACTTCAGCTTTTTGCTGGGCTTCTGGGAGCAATTCAATGTCATCTGCCCCGTAGATTTTCTGTGCAATGATCCTGATCTTATCTTCAACTGGAAGCTAATGCACAAGAAAAAGAGGAGAAAACTGTGACTGGACATGCATGGATATCTAGTCACGTTCTAGGTCAGAGTCTCCAATGAGGGCCAGAAGATGTTTTTATATACAGATATGCAAATGGTTTGAGGTTTATTGGGTTAGAAACATTTTCTTTTAATACCAAGCCTCAAATTGTGGAAAATGTCCCACAGAGGTAAAACTACTATATACACATGCATATACAACTTTAAGAGGTACATCTTAAATAATATAGTTAACCACCCAAGAACAATTATTTCTTCATAAATAAAAAGATGTTCTAACACTGGAGATCAGCCTCAAATCAAGCTAGATCTGTGTATTGTTTATGAAATGAGACAACCCATGTCCATCTCTATAACCTCCAGTTTGTACATGAGAGGCAGATGCTATCTTTAACACAACATATGGAGGGTAACTGCCGTTATTTAGAAATAGTCATAAAAATAAAATCACCTGGCCCTCAGATAATCTTTAAAGCTTAAACTAAAAATATGCCCTGAAGTCTTCTCAAAACCAAACAGTAGTCTAGCTTAACCAGTAGAGAATGTCTGCCTTGAGCACTGTGCTTTAAGAGCTATCTAGATGGGATCAAACTGACAACAGCAACTCTGAAGAGCAGGTAGGGCACTTTGGGCACACTGAGTTTTTGTTAAACAACTCAGCAAAGGAAGGTGAGAATGGTTATACAACTCAAAGAATGGAATCAGTGTCACTGAGGTGTGCATTGTAGAAATTGTTGAACTGGTATATGTTTTGCTGTGTATATTCTCAATAACAATAAAAATCAATTACAAAAATAAATAATAAAATCACCATGGAATTAAAATGGAGCTCTGGTGGCATAGTGGTCAAAGAATTCAGTTACTAACCAAAAGGTTGCTGGTTCAAACCCCCTGGTCGCTCCATGGGAGAAAGATGAGGCAGTCTTATTCTGTAAAGATTTACAGCCTTGAAAACCCTATGGGGCAATTCTACTCTGTCCCATAGGGTTGCTAGGAGCTGGAATCGACTCAGTGGCAGTGGGTTTCGTTTTGGTTTTATGCATTAAGGCAACCCAGTGACTTCTACGGTCAACACACACTGGAAGTGGTATGAAAGGATGTCACCCAGGGCACATGAAGCAAACAGGATCCTCTCTGCAATGGCAGCAGATAGAGGCTAAGAGTCTCACCAGTAGTGAGGGCCCCAGTGCCACATGGTTGCCTCCTCTAGGGCAAAGGTTTCAGAGATGTGGCACCCTGCTTCTTAAATACTGCTGCAGTCTAGTTCTGGTCACCAAGATTCAGTGAAAACAACAGAGAGAGAGACTGCCTAAAGAAAATGGGAAGGAAAGCTACTGACAGGTAATCTGGATGAGCAAATTCTAAAATTAGGCAATAAATCTGGCTCTATACTCCCTAGCAACCAAGGCAAAAAGAACATGTTGAGTGAGTTTTGTCTTTTGAAAGAAGTAATACTCCATTAAATTTTTTTTTTCTCCTTCTGAACTAAACAGGAATCATTTACAGAAGGGCTATGTATAACGAATATGACTAAAGTGAACATTCAATTATGGTCTTATACATAGATTACTTTTGTATGCAACTTATAACTGGAGCTCTATAAATGCCAAGGCACACTCAAAACTTTTGAAGCAAAAGCACTTTTCTTGAGGGGTGAATTAAGACTAGCAGCTGCTGAATAAAACAGAAAGTGGCTGCCTCCTGTTTGTCTGAACAAAGTTCCTGGTGGAAGTGGGTTATAAAAACCTCATTACACCACTTCTTCCAGGTCTCCTGATGGCCTTAAGGCTGGGGTTCCTGAGCTATGCACTGTGGTGAGGGCCGTGGAAAGGGGTAGCTATAAATGCTTTGCATTTATACTTTTCTGGTATTTTCCAAAAAGATGATTGGTTGAGCAGATTAGTCTATATACTGGCCAAAGCAGTCAACAGGAGATATTATTTATCATTATATTACTCTGCAAAGGATGATGAGAAACGTAAGAATGTCAAAACTGTTTCTTTCCTCTAGCTTTTTAGGGTCATTTTTGACAATCTCTGGTTACCTTTGAAAACCAAGCCAAAAAACCAACCTCAAGAATATAAGCAGAATTAGCTATAACATTTACTCTGTGGTCCTAACAAAGTTTCCAATGTTCTGAACATGCTACTTTATATCCAATCATATCCTGAAATACATGGGGAAGATAATGGAAAATAAGACACCCATAATAAGAACCACCTTTCTCTGAACTAATTTCATGGTATCAGAAAATAAGCAATGCTCCTGCTTGGGCTAGAGGTAATTTAAGTTATTCGGTGACAGGCAAAAACAACGGAGCCTCCTGAGGTGCTGCTCTGCTTTTGCACCTGAGGGCTTCTTTGAATGGAGACAGCACTGGCAGGAAGTGAGCTTAGGCACATAAGATTTTTCCCTATCACTGGGAAGTGCTCAAAAAATGTCTGAGCTCACTGGAGACCCCTGCCAACTGGCCACATGGTTGGTGCCCTGGGTTAAAGGCTACAGTGAGTTATACATTGGTTCTGCATGTAACCTTCCAAAAGACAATTCCTGACCCACAGGATCCACATCTGTAACATTTCCACACAACACCACCTCTCTATTGTGAAGAGGGCCTGCATTGTGAGTCTTTCCAAAGGTTAGGATGTGAACCCCTCCTCCCGCCCCCAAGCATTCTCACCTGGACGGCCTACATTTTAAGTAAGCAGCAGCATGCATTTGTAAGAAAGCTGTCTAGAGTTGGTACCAGGCTGTGGCTGGTTAACTCACCCACCACATGGGAACCAAACCTACAAGTTTGAAGCTGTTGAACACAGGGTCCTGAGTAGAGGTAACCAGACAGACACCTCATTGTATCTGAGTGTTTTTTTTTTTTTTTTTTTTGCATACAGTAAGTAGCCCACCTTGAGATCATAAAGCAGTTGGAAGCTGCTGGGGGCCTCCGCTGCTCCCTGGACGGCCTGAGCTAGGGCTAAGGCTCCCTTGCCCCCTTCTGCCCAGTGAGTGCACTTCACGGCATCAAAAGCCCCATGTTCTTTGGCAAGGTGGCTGACCAGGTCCAGCTCAGCCTCTGTATCCGTCCTGTAAAGACAGTGCTTCACGTTAAAGATAAAGGATGGCTGGAGGAAGACACAATCTACCTTGGCTTAGCCATTAAGGCTCAGGCTAGTTCCCCACTGATAAATGGGTAACCCACTGCCACTGAGTCAATTCTGACTCCTACCAACCCTATAGGACAGAGTAGAGCTGCTCCACAGAGTTTTCAAGGCTGTAAATCTTTACAGTAGCAGACTACCTCATCTTTCTCCCATGAGCAGCTGGTGGGTTCAAACTACTGACCTTCTGGTTAGCAGATGAATGCTTTAACCACTACACCACCCCAGCTCCTTGATAAATGGGTATGAATCATGAAATACTCCCTGGGCTTAAACCTCAGCTCCTCAAGTTAGTAGCTGGGTGACTTTCACCAGTTACTTCATCTTTTTGTGCCTCAATTTCCACACGGGTAAAATGGGAATAATCAGAGCACTTACTTCATAGGGATGTTATGAGGCTTCCAAAAAACCAAACTCACTGCCGTTGAGTAGGACCCAACTCATAGCGACCCCTCCTTGGGTTTCTGAGGCAGTATTACTACAGAAGTAGATTGCCCAATCTTCCTTCTGGGGAGTGGCTGGTGGGTTTGCACCATTAGCCTTCTGGTTAGCAGTCAAATGCCCTAGGGGCTATGCTACCAGAACTCCCGTTATGAGGCTTAGACAAATAAATACATATAAAGCACTTAGGATAGTTACCAACTCATGGTAAAGAATCAATAAACACTAGCTTTTCACCAGCACATGCTGCTGTGGTCAGGCCACTGTAACAAGACCAAAAGCAGCTCCACAGTATATAAATAACCCACACATTCTTCCTTGCATGAACACTTTTAGCTTAATACCAGTTCAACTCTTTGTCAAGACAACATCCCACAAGACCTAGTAAAATACTGAAACTCTGTAGAGCTAATACTGTTCTGTTCTTACAAAAGGCCTCCAAAGACCAAAAAGAACATTTAACTTCAGGGCCTGTTATCCACTTCACCTGGCAGAAAAGAAGGGTGCCTACGGGAGCCAAACCTGACTCAAGGACGCTCGATAATGGGAGTTCACCGTGAGTTATGCATCGCCTGTCATATTGCAGGCTTTCGTTAATGGATGGATAACCGTCCATTAAAGGCTGGATAACCAACAGCAGTAAGAGAAGAAAAAAAATAAAACTGAAATGCACTGCTGTACAGTTAGTCCCAGGAGTTGTTTTCTGACCATTCACGCTTTACCCTTTACTCTGCACTTACTTGAATACGTTCACAGCCACTACTACTGGAACTCCAAAGAGTCTGGCATTTTCAATTTGTTTCCTCAAGTTACTGAAGCCTTTCTCAACCAACTCCAGGTTCTGTAAAAACAGCAGTGAAAGCTCTGTGATGTCAGAGAGAGCAGAGCTGAAGCAGGTGCTGGCTCTTCTCAAACGGAAAATGGCCTCCTTATAGCCAGTAGTCACTGGCTGACGAGACAAGGAGACAAATGAGGGAGATGATTTCCTGATGTATTTCTTCACCTTGGTCAATGAGTACTGGGGAGGAGGGCAGCTTTGATTCTTGCCCAAAACCCCAGAGTGGAGCTGCGCTTGGGTCTTGGTGGCTTGTGTATTTGCTGCTGTCAGGCCGTATCTTAATTACTTATTTAAGATGTGAAGGGAATTAGTTACCCCTACATAAATCTGAAATTGGCCAAACATGCAATCAAGATGTGTTGATTATCATTGGTGATTGGAATGCAAAAGTTGGAAACAAAGAAGAATCACCAGTAGTTGGAAAAAATGGCTTTGGTGACAGAAATGATGCTGGAGATCGCATGGTAGAATTTTGCAAGACCAATGACAATTCATTGCAAATATCTTTTTTCAACACCACCAACTGTGGCTATATATGTGGACTTAACCATATGGAGTACACAGCAATCAGACTGACTATATCTGTGGCAAGGGGTGATGGTAAAGCTCAGTATCTTCAGCCAAAACAAGGCCAGGAGCTGACTGTGGAACAGACCATCAACTGCTCATATGCAAGTTCAAGATGAAGCTGAAGACAATTAAAACAAGTCCACGAGAGCCAAGATATGACCTTGATTATATCCCTCCTGAATTTAGAGACCATCTAAAGAATAGATTTGATACACTGAACCCCAATGACCAAAAATCAGAGGAATTGTGGGAAGACATCAAAAACAACATCCATGAAAAAAGCAAAAGGCCATTAAAAAGACAGGATAGGAAGAAAAGACCAAAATGGATGTCAGAAGTCTCTGAAACTTGCCCTTCACCAGGGAGTGGCTAAAGCAAATGGAATAATTGAGAGGATAAAAGAGCTGAACAGATGATTTCAAAAAGCAGCTTGAGAAGACAAAGTCAATTATTATAATGAAATGTGCAAAGACCTTAAATTTTCTCAAGCTGAAATAACTGAAGAAAAAATTTAAGCCTCGAATTGCAATACTGAAAGATTACATGGCCAATATGTTGAATGATGCAGGAAACATCAAAAGAAGATGGAAGGAATATACAGAGTCACTATACCAAAAAGAATTGATTGATGTTCATCCATTTCAGGAGGTAGCATATGATCAAGAACCAATGGTACTGACGGAAGAAGTCAAAGCTGCACTGAAGGAAGTGGTAAAAAAACAAGGCTCTGGGCACTGACAGAATACCCACTGAGATGTTTCAACAAACACCCACTGGAGGCGCTCACTCGGCTATGCCATGAGACTTGGAAGACAGCTACCTGGCCAACTGACTAGAACAGATCCCTATCTGTATCCAGTCCAAAGAAAGGTGATCCCACAGAATGTGGAAATTACTGAACAATATCATTGATATCACACTAAGTAAAATCTTACTGAAGATAATTCAAAAATGGTTGCAGCAGTATATTGACAGAAAGCTTCTAGAAAAGCAAGCTGGATTCAGAAGGGGAGGTGGAGAGAGCAATATCACAGCTGATGTCAGATGGATCTTGGCTCAAAGCAAAGAATACCAGAAAGATTTTTACTTGTATTTTTATTGACTATGCAAAGGCATTCAATTGTGTGGATCATAACAAATTGTGGATAACACAGTGAAGAACGGGAATTCCAGAACACTTAATTGTACTCATGAGGAACCTGTACATAGACCAGGAGGCTGTTGTTTGAACAGAACAAGGGAACACTGCATGGTTTAAAATCAAGAATGGAGTATGTCAGGGTTGTATCCTTTCACCATACTTATTCAATCTGTATGCTGAGCAATCATCATAGAAGCTACACTACATGAAGAACGTGGCATCATGACTGGAGGAAGGCTCATTAACAACCTGAGATATGCAAACAACACAACTTTGCTTGCTGCAAGTGAGGATAACTTGAAGCGCTTACTGATGAAGATTAAAGACTACAGTCTGCAGTATGGATTACACCTCAATATAAAGGAAAAAAAAAACTGGACCAATAAGCAGCAGCATGATGAATGGAGAAAAGACTAAAGTTGTCAAAGACTTCACATTACTTGGCTCTACAATCAACGCCAAGGAAAGCAGCAGTCAAGACATCAAAAGACATATTTCATTGGGAAAATCTGTTGCAAAAGACCTCTTTCAAGTGATGAAGAAGATTGAGGTACGTCTAACCCAAGCTATGGTATCTTCAATTGCCTCATATGAATGTGAGAACTGGACAATGAAATAAAGACCAAAGAAGAGTTGATGCTTTTGAGTTGTGGTGATGGTGAAAAATGCTGAAAAGTACTGTGGACTGCTAAAAGAACTAACAAACCTGTCCTGGAAGAAGTGCAGCCAGAATACTCCTTGGAAGCAAGAATGGCCAGACTTCATCTCACCTACTTCGGTCATATTGTCAGAAGGGACCATTATCTGGAGAAGGATGTCATGCTTGGTAAAGTGGAGGGTCAACAAAAGAGGGGAAGGCTCTCAACAAAATGGACTGACAGGGTGGCTGCAGTAATGGGCTCAGCTATAGTAGGGATTGTGTGACTGGCATTGGACCGGGCAGTGTTTCATTCTGTTGCACATAAGGTTGCTTATGTGTCAGAGACAACTCAACGGCACATAACAACACGAGTTATATTTATAACCCCTCTACAGGTTTTATGTACTCATATGGTACAATGGTCTATGCTGACTCTACTTGATATAGCACAGATCCATCAGAAGACACAGCATAACACACAGCCAGGCACAAAACAGGAATTCATGACACAGCTGCCGTGAACACTAAGGGAAAACACAAAGTATTCATAAGGCTTTCAAAGGTTTTACTGAATTCAACAATGCATTTTCATATATTGGGTTATGAGCAAAACTCAACAAGAACAGTGTTTAGTTTGTAGATCCACAACAATCACAAATCAGCAGGAAAAAATAGGTTGGTCAAATAGCAAGGTAAATGCTACCTGTAAGAACCAAACAAGATGAAATTTAAAAGAAGGGAATTAAGGAAATATACCTTTAAGTATGAGCATTGCTTGTAGCACTGGGAAACTGCAAACACCAACCTCCATCAAGAGGGGGTTGGGTCAATGAATGATGATGATAGATATATATATATATACATACATACATTCAATGAAATACTGATCACACAGATGTTGTGAAAAGTGAGATGGACCTGTGTTAAAATGGAATGTGTCCAAGATGTATTAAAGATGAAAAACTGAATTCCATTTTTACACAAACTAACACACATTCATGAAATTTTTAAAAATGTTGACAAATACTCACCAAAGGGGGCTCAAATCACATATTATATCCTTATAATGTTTATTTTTCAAAAAGATATATTAATATTTTAAGTTAAAAATATCTTAAATATCAAAAAAGTGAAACTATAGCAGTCTTATACAAAAAAAAAATACATATTGGGTTATGAGCAAAACCCAACAACAACAGTGTTTAGTTTGTAGATCCAGAATAATCACAAATCAGCAGGAAAAAAGGGTTGCTTAAAAGTAGAGAACAACTGGGATCACTGTGAACGTGATTTATGCCTTTTTTTCCCTTTTATAACTGAAAGCTGAAACCAGGGTTTGTTATGTTCTGAAGTGCATGCTAATTCTTTACTTCCAGTCAGAAGAAAACCAATCTGTATGTAAGACTGGCTGGGAACAGTTTTAAGTCAATAGAATTTCTTAAATGAAGACACCAGCTGGGCCAGTGAGGGGCGGTCACTCTAATTAGACACAGGAAGGGCTGTGGGGTGGCAGGAGGGCCAGAACTGTGAATTCCCCTCCTACGCGTGAATCAGACAAATGACCATAAAAGGCAAATCATAACTCAGAAGACAGTCTTGAGGCACTGACAATTTTTTTCTAACCCACTTTGAAATAATTCACTTGGATCTTAAACAGTGACCCTGCATTACTTTATAATTTAAAAGTCTGGGTGGAGGGGGAGGGAAGCAGAGAAATTGAATTAACAGTGGTAACAGCTGACCTTAACATCTCACTTGAGGGCCTGCCTCTTATGTAACATCCCAAGCTGACTCTAGGGATGGTTCGACAGTAAATGATATAAATATGAAAAGGTAGGAAAGCTCACAACTCTTCTTTGGGCTCTGGGTTGATGCTATAAACCAAATCAGCTGATGGAATCTTAGCTTAGGAAAATAAACAGGATGTGGCGTTATTGCAGCCCCTTCTAGTATGAACTGAAATCTGCAGAGGAAAAGGCATTTCAAACAAGGTCCCTATCTGCTTTTGATTGAATGAGGTTTGGGAGTAGCCCACCCAATGCAGAAAGACAGTGGAAAGAGACCTCCATTAGCACAGGCAGAATTTCTCAACTTCAGCATTACTGACATTTGGAGCCAGATAATTCTTTGTTGGGGGGTGCTGTCCTGTACATTGTAGGATAATTCTTTGTTGTGGGGGGCTGTCCTGTGCATTGTAGGATATTCTGTGGTATGTCTGGTCTCCACTTTCTGGATGCCAGGGCCACTATAACACCCCATGCCCCTCTGCCCTTGTGACAACCAACAATGTCTCCAGACATAGTTAAGTATCTCTGGGGGCAAAATCACCCTCAGCTGACAACCACTGGTTGGACAGTAGTTTTTACTAATACTGCCTTTGGGGCAATTCTGTTTTTGGAAGACTATTCCCCTATTTCACTCATTAAATACACTGCTTCAGCACACTGGAGGCAATTTAGCATTCCTGGCTCCCAGGAGCAATGCTGGATCATACTGATACCCCACTCATTCCCAAATGGGCCGGGTGAAGAAATGTTGACTTAGGGTGTGCTGCTTTCTAGGACAAATAATTAAAAAATGAGATCACCATTACCTCCTCTGTGTAAGCCTTGGGTAGAGGGACTCCAGCAGTGACCTGGAAGGAAAGGAAACCAAGTCAGGGATATTATCTATTTATAATTAGATTTCACCTTAAAACGGTGCTTGCCTTGTGGTAAAGGCAACAAGCCACATGCTTTGGATAGTATACAGCTTACTAGGAATGGTTCATACTCTCAAAGCTTTCAGGCATATGGCCAGTCACACAGCACAGAACAAAATGGCTGCTTTGAGCAGAGAGAGACCTTTGTGGCCTGGGTTAGTATAAAGCCTGTTAAAGGAAGCAAGGAAGGATGGAGCTATGAAGGCAGAGGGCAAATGTGCTCTAGGCAGGGGCAAGAAGCTCAGCGAGTAAAGGACATGCACTGTGGGGGCAGAATTAGAGGTGAATGAAAGGAAAAGGCAGCTGTCAGCCTGCAAAGGCCACACCAAAAGGTCTGTAGGTGGAGTCTGTGATTAGGTCTGCGACGGGTTCACCAAGCTGGCCCACGAAGCTGGTTCACCCACATCTCAGTGCAAGTCTTAGTATACCACAACCGTCGTGCCAGAACAACACAAGTAAGAGGGAAAAGCATTACAGAATGAATTATTTTCCTCTATCACAGAATATTTTTAAGTTGTCAAAACACTTAAGAAGTGAGTATATTGTTACTGAGGTGACTGGCCTGCTCCAAGTCCTAATCTGTGTGGTAATTCAACCTTGCCTCAGCCACAAGAGAGGGACAATTACAGGGATGTGAAGACAGGGAACCAATGAACCCCCGCCAGTAGAATTTGCTCTAGGCAACAGACAGTGATTAAAAGGCCTTCAGCTTGGTCCCTGCCCATTCCTCCAGAAGACTGTGGTGCTCCGATACTCAGAGCAGACCCTAGAGAAAGAAGGCAGGAAGCAAGACCAGAGCTGCCACGCTCAGGGCATTGCCCGGGGCTTCCTGTCTATGAGGCAATGTGAGCAGCAGTGGTGAACAGCAGGTCTGACAGAGCCATCCACGTAAAGCTCCCCTCTCAGTGTTGATCAGATTAAGTGCCTACTGTGAGGTCACAATAAAAGAAGCAAAGGAGGTACAATGGTGTAAGGCTGAGTGAGGGGATGTGAAGAAGGATGTGATAGTCAGAAATGTTGGTTACAATCGAGAAGAAGAAGGGATTCCATCCTGCACCACTAGCATAAGGGGCATCCTTGGCCAGCAGTACTTCAGTCTTTTAGGGACACCTAAGGCTAGAGAGAGGTCTGTTGAGTGCATTACAGCCATGAGGACCTCACCTTTCAAGGAAGTCTATGAGGTCAAAACTATTCCACAGTAATAGTAAGATAGTATTAGATTTTTTCATTCTCATTCTCTCATGAATGTACAATGGACTTTTCAAAAAAATTATATGACACAGCATTGAAACAGACTAAACTCAGAAGATGAGAACACAGTTGTCATCAATTAGGTCAAATACTGAGATTTGAAAAAGACAACGCCTAAATTTTGTATCAGAAAATATAGTGACTTTTCATTAAAAAATGTTACTTAATATGTAACTCAGTTTTAACTTCTAATATAGTAAATAGCGGTAGATATAACCCACGTAAGTAAGCTTTCCTGGGCCCTCAATCATTTTTAAGAGTATAAAGGGGTCCCGAAACCAAACACTTGAGTACCTGCTATATTACCAGGAAAAACCCTCACCACCACACTAAGAAGAAACAGATTTTATTCTGTAGGTTGAAGGAGGTCTTACCACACCACTCCTTGAGGAGAGGCATTTAATACTTCTTCAAAGGATTTCTGAAAACCAGCACTACATCTTCACATGCAGGTGCTGGAGAAAAGGTGCTAATTACTAGGATAAACGGTACAATTTCTAATCAGTAGGAATTCAGGAAAACACAAAGTTCAGGTGGGAGCTGAGGACACCTAGTCCCAACCTTCTCTTCTCCCTATTACCCAGAGGCTGCTCAGAGAGCTCTCAGTTCTCCTTTGCCTGCCCTCCTCTCGCTCCAGGCTGTTAGTGGTCTCATCACACGTATGCACTACTCAAGAAGGCGCTGACCTCTGTCTCCCTAAATGGCTCACTTGGTTGGCTGCCAACATCACTGTTTAGAGAGAAAATGGAATTCAGACTTAAAGAACAGTTGGAACATGAAGGAGTTTTGTAGTAAAGCCAAGTACATGTCTTTGGGTAGATTTAGATATCATCAGATGTTTTCCTCAGAAAGGTAGGCCATGGAGCCAATTTTGGCTTTCTTAAAATGCCACAAGCTAAGAGTGCCTACGAGTGATAAGGTGGCCATTACAAGAGCCATCTGACCAGCTTTTGCTCTAGGCAGCCTATGAATCACGCCAATAAGAGAAGCTTAAAGACACAAGCACAAGCCATCCAACTTCCCTTCAGTCTTCAGAAAATTCCTGACAACCAGATCCTACCAACCCTTGTTCCTCACCGTGGGGCCGCCCCCGTGCATTTTAAGAGCCCTAACTGTGGCAACAAGCACCACCACATGAGGGCGGAGACCAGAATATCGACATTTGATGTTAAAAAACTTTTCCATTCCAATGTCGGCTCCAAATCCTGCTTCAGTCACTGTAAACAAGGAGAAAAGCAGTGTTAAAAATGCCATCCCAATGCCCCTGTTATTTGATTTAAAAAAAAGAGAGAGAGGGAGAGAGAAATAGCCTATTCACCTATTTTGCAAAGCTACTCACCTACAAACCCTTCAGGGCCAACAAGTTTGAGTGCAACCCGGTCTGCTATGATAGAGGAATTCCCATGTGCAATGTTGGCAAACGGTCCAGCATGAACAAACACTGGAGTGCCCTGTGGAAATCAAGGCGTCACAAGGGAAGCTCTCAATCCTGCTTCCAAATGGGATCACCAAGTGTAAGGACTGAACAACATGGTGAACAAAATTTATGTCACTGAACTGCACATGAGAGGACTGAAGAAATGTCACATTTTTTTAAAAACATATTTACCACAATTAAAATAGAAAAAAAGAAAGGATCACATAGTCAAGGGTATGGAATTTAGTTGGAATCCAAAATAAAAAGACTTTCCAGGCAGAAAATACAACGCCTCCTCTTTCTCTATTTCAATAATGTCCCAGTCAGAATTATGAGGAAGAATGGGAAGAAAGAGATGAACCGGTAGAGAAGGTCTCTGACTCCCCAAGAAAAGTACGCTCTCTGCCACTCTGCTCACCTCCAGTGTCTGCATGAGGTTGGGCTTGATAGCATCCTTCATAAGCACTGTCAATGCACCACTCACCCCCTACAAAACAGAAAAATGGTGTGTCAGCTCCTACCAGCAAAAAACCAACATTCAACATTTATAGGTCTTCCCTTTTTAGGCATTTTGGATCAACCAGGACTTTCATCTGGATTAGACCATCCATTCATTTCTTTCTGGATCTGCTATGAAGTTACCAGTTATTTTAAGCAGAGAGAATGTATAAAATGAAAATGACATTCACATGCAATTTTTAGAAAAACAAGTAACCCTGGAAACAAGCATCTCAATAAAGCTCAGTTGCTGACTGATGTGGGGAATCCATTTTAGAACAATTTAGAGCAGGGAAACTAGTTCCTAGAGTACCAAGTTACTTGTACCTTTGGTGTCGGGACAGAAGTAGCAATAAACCAAATTCAGTATGTGTTTCTCAAAGATGACACTTGCCAAAGTAAGATAAAGCAATAGGTCCCACTTATATTTAATTCCAATGGCTTTCTATATTTCTGGTTTGGATACTAACATTTAAAACAATCTCTTTTCTTACCCAATAAGTGTGAAAACAGGAAATTAATTTTCCCTCTTTTCAAATTTATCTACCATACAACTAATCACAGCCAACAATTTTGGTTGTGTCAACACACAAACAGGGTTTTAAAAAATTAATCTATAGAATCTCTTATTTCAAACCTATTACTATGCAAACAATTCAGAAATAACTCTTATGAGGAAAACCAGCCAAGCAGGACAGGACACTGAGCTTTCAGATAATCAACAAGGAGTTATTTCAAATGTTACAAATGCTGTTATCAGTGAAACTGTGATGGCAAACGGCCTCACAAGGAGAGGAGGCCTATGCAGAAAGCCAAGTGTCCTGGGGAGGGGCCAGGATTTGACTCCAAGCCCAGCTAACGAAGGGCCTCTTCTGGATCTTGATGTTCTCTGAAAATTAAAGTCACACACTATCTTGTGGATACGCACAGGATGAAGATGTTCAAACCACTGGAAACTTACAGGCTATCACTAGAGCATATCATCTATTATTCACTATGAATTATTTTATAAATATCATTAATTATCTTGTCAATAGCAAAATCCTATTGATTGGTTAATTACAACATCTTAACTGCAGCATAATTTCTGTTATGAGTGCTTCTGAGAGACCTTAGGACCAAGAACAAAGATGCATCACCCAGCTCAGAGTGTCTGGCACTCACCAGATCTTCAGCACTGATGGGATCCCCTTTCTTGCTGGATGCCACCACCATTTTGCCCAGTCTCTCTCTCATGTCTTCTAGAGAACTGGTGAGAGCCAGGACAGCCATAATTTCACTGGCCACAGAGATATCAAACTGGGCCTGTTGGCAAGGAAAAGACATAGTACCCCTACTCCTCACTTATCAACATGGTTAAGTTCCAAAGACCAGGTCTTTACGGGAAAATTGGCATTGTGCAAAAATGGAACATGACCACATGAAATCACAAAATGGGGGATGACTACACTATTACGTATCTCTCAAATTACATCATTACACAACTGCTAAATTACATCATTACATAACTGTCAAACCACTTAGAACCATGGTCCAGCCAAGCTGACATGTAACTTTAACCATCAGAACCAGGGTTATTCTCACCAAGCACCTCAGCATTTGATACTGCCAGATATACATCATTAATGTGCAAAACAGTCATATAGTAGATTTTTTACTACTGTTGTAAATGCAAAATGTTGGATAATGAGACAGTCGGTTAAGTGAGGAGGTGTAGAGAAAATGACATTAAACCCAATTGGTGAACTGCACAAGTAATGCATCTTTAAACAAATAGCTTAAAAGAATAGAATAATAGAATACTAAATAAAGATAAAGGAGCTCTGGTTGGTGTAGTGCCCAAGGAAACTGACTGCTAACCAGAGGCTGGTGGTTCAAACCCACCATTCACTTCTTCGGAAGGAAGGTTGGGCGATCTACTTCCATAGTGATACTGCCTCGGAATGCAAAGAGGGATAACTATGAGTTGCAGAACTTAATGAAAACAATCCTCCAGGAGCAAAACTTTTGGAGTTCCTGGGTGGAAAAAATCGTTAATGCTCTTGGGTGCTAACTGAAAGGTTGGAGGTTCAAGCAACCAGAGGCACCTCAGAGGAAAGGCCTGCTTATCGACTTCTGAAAAATCAGTCACTGAAAACCCGGTGGAGCGAGTTCCACTCTAACGTGCCTGGGGTCCCAAAAAGTCAGAATCAGTTCAATGGTAACTAGTAGCAAAAATTTTTAATTCATTTTCCCAAGACATCAAGAAGCCAATTTTTAAAAATCAATGTAGTAGAACCAACAAGCTAAGGCTGCCTGTAATCATATGGCTGTGGTTTCTGTAACGTACAAGGACAGAAGACAGAAGCTCCTACACTGAAAAGACATACTGCATAACAGCCACCAAAAATGAAGCAATTTTAATTTACGTGCAAGGATATTCACTTGGGGCTCTCCACCTCCAGGAAAAAAGTGCTGGGGAAAAACACAGGTGACACATGGGATTTACTGCGAAGACTGTCAGGAATGCTCAATACTGCACACCTCCTCACTTCCATTTTAAAAGGGAGAGGAAGGCAGAACAACAGCTGGCAGTATCAGTCATATGGAAAACGATGGAGGAGGGCAGCAGCAGCAAGGATCTGGTTCACATGAACTGATTTACTTGGGAAGAGAAAAACAGTTACCGTCCGCGTGTATCCTTTCTCCGTTGGCGCCTGTCCAATTGTGATCTTCCTTAGGAATCTATCATTGGTATCTAGCACTACAGAAAAAAGGAAAGAAACAAGAATTTTAATAAAGGAGCTATAAAGTTATAAGAACCAGCAGAGTTTAAAAGCAAGAACTCTAATTTAGTAACCATCTTAATGCACTTACTCCTCACTTATCAACTATCTCACTTTCCAACATTTAGCCTTTATGATAATAGTAAAAATCTACTATCCTATCTTGTGCATTAACGACACGTCTGGCAGTAACAAACACCGAAGTGTGAAGAGAGTTAACACGTTTTTAGCATGACAAAGGAAAAAAAAATAAGACTGACCATTTTATACACAGAAATTAGATGCAAGGAACTTGACTATTTTTTGAAAAGTAAGTTCCTTGCATCTAATTTCTGTGTGTAAAATGGTCAGTCTTATTTTTTCCTTTGTCCTTACTTTCTTAGAAAGCATAAATTAGACATAAAGCAAAAGAAAAATGAATGAGATTCTGAAGTTTCAAATGGACCTTTAGCTTATTCCTTATAAAATATTATACCATCTATCTAAAATTTTTAACGCAAAGAGAAGAGAAACACTAATATGATTTTAGATATTAAGAATGCCATCTTATATTCACACACAGGGAAAGATGGACAGACAAGAATGCATAGTTAAGAAGGGCACAGGAAGGGGGTAGGCACACGGAAGGGAGGGGAGGAGAGTTTTTTCTGATTGGGGATAGTAATCAGGCTGTGAAATCAAATGTGCATGAACTGTTGAATATAAAACAAATTTGCCTTGTAATAAAATTGCCTTGTTTCCTTTAATGGGTAAGCACCACAAAAAAGTAAATAAAATCAGTAAAAATAAAAAAGAGTGTCATCTTAAATGTCATTAGCTACCAGAAGTTACTACGCCAATGAAAATCAGGAAAGCTGCCAAAAAATCAGCCCCTAGCTGCATTCTGCACAACTTAGGTAAAAATTCCCTCTCAGCAGAGGTACAGGATAGATGGAAGCACTGTTGGTAAAAAATAAAATTCTAAGTCATACTTAGTTGGACATATAAAAAAGTAAATCAGGCAACTCACCCACCAAGTTATGAAGTAATTAAACCTTTATGGTTACCTAACTTGTGACAAGAGGGTTTAAGAAAATTAGATAAAAAAATGATGAGGCAAGCTAGAGAGTTACAACAAAAATCATATCACTTATGCAGGACAAGAGTTCTGAGAATAAAGGGAATCCATGACTCAAAAAGTGATTGACCGTAACTTCCCTACTGATGACACCACAATTTTGCATAAAATGAAACTTGCAAAATTGTTTCCTTAGCACCAAGTGTTTCAATCAATACTGAATAACCAGTAAAATGTTTAACCATTCCAACAAAGGGAGATTTGTTTACAGTAAATAAGAGATGTTGATGGGGATAACAAGAAAAATGAGTAAATCACCATCTTGTTCATGTACTCACCATGAAAATACCAACACACAAGCCTCTAGACCTCGTGTTTGAACAACTCTGGGAGAGTGTGGGGTATGAGGACAACCAACTCAAATGGAATACTCTGGTACCTCTTTGCCAAGTTATAGTTTCTGGATCAATATCCAATCTTGCAAATCTGTTGATTTCTTCATCTGTCAGTGTGGTAGGGTCGGTCTTGTCAATGCCTAGTCTCTGAAGAAGTAGGAAAATTAAGCCATAAAGTAAGACAAAACAAGCAAAAGCCTAATAAAATAATTTTTTTTTTTTTAAACTTAGTATGTCTCAAAATAGGATCTCTTCTGGAAAATACAAACCATATTAAATTCCAGTGGGAAAATTGTGATCCCTTTAGCTAAATATAGGGGTGTTTCCTACTCATTTATCTACAATACAAAGATATTATTAACATGTTCATCCTCACAAATGAGCACAAGAGGCATTTCCCTAAGTTCAGCGCAAAACAAGTGTAGTGACCAAGAAGTGCTCTAAGACACATGCACATGTCCAAATTCACCAAACCCAAACATACTGAAAGGAAATGCAATGTAAAGCTTTTTTCAATCATACAATTGAGAAGCCCAAATCAAACGCAATTTTGTGTCATGTGCCATTAAGGAGGTTCAAACTCATAGCAACCCTACATTATAGAGTAGAACTGCCTTATACGGTTTCCAAGGCTGTAATCTTTACAGAAGATGACTTCTACATCTTTTTTTCCTGTGGAACGGCTGATAGGTCAAACTGCCAATTTTTTGGTTAGCAGCTGAGCACTTAATCACTGTGCCACCAGGGCTCCTTACATGAAATTTCAAAAATGGTAAAAAAAAAAAAAAAGTAAATCACTTTCATATGAGTTTTATTTAACACTGTATATTTACTGCCTTTCTACTTTTCCAAAAGTAAGAAAAGGTTTCACTCAAATCACAATAAAAAGAAACAAATTAAAAAAAAAAAAAAACCCACCATAAGAAATAAATAAAAAAAAAAGGTGCCCTGCTGCTCTTTACAGAATTTGGAAAGCCTGACTTCTTTCACTTAAAAGCATAATGCCTTTTACAGGGTGAACATTTACATCAGGTAGATATACTCCTTAGAGTGATCAATTGTGGGAGAATAGAGGGCAGTGTTTACACCAAGAGATAGCCGGGGGCGGGGTGGTGGTGGACAGGAATACATAGGAAAGATGGGCATAGGACACAGGAAAGAGGTAACTACAAGGGAGCAAGTGGGAAGAGAGCTGTTATATTGTGGGGATTACAGTCAATGCCATGAAATAAAACGTGTATGAAGTGCTATATGGAAAATCAATTTGCTCTGTGAACTTTCACCCAAATCACAATAATTGTTTTTTTTTAAAAAGGATAATGCCTTTAAGACTCATCTAAATTGTTTTATCAATAATTCATTTCTTTTTATTGCTGAGTTATGTTTCAATGAATGCATGGACCATAGTTTGTTTATCCATTCATCCACTGAAGGACATGTACGTTATTTCCAGATTTTGGAGATTATTAACAGAGCTGCTGCTAAAGGGGCAGAGAGGCCCTATCTTCTGACCTCCTCTAACCCCACAAGTTGTTGTTGCTGTTGTTAAGTGCCATCGAGTCGTTTCCGACTCATAGCGACCCCATGCACAGAACGAAATACTGCCCGATCCCGCGCCAGCCCCACAATCCTTGCTATACTTGAGCCCATCATTGCAGCCACCGTGTCAATCAATCCATCTCGTTGAAGGCCTCCCCCTCTTTCGTCAACCCTCCACCCTACCAAGCATGACATCCTTCTCCAGGGAATGGTTTACTCAGATGTTGCAGCTCTTTCCCAGTCCTATTTTGATAGCCTTTTAGCCTAAACGGACTATTACTAAAGGTGCGCGGTAACGTACCAAACAGTGTTTCTTTGCTATTCATAAGGTTTTCCCTGGCCAATTCTTTCAGAAGTGGATGGCCTCTTCCTTCTTCGTCTAACCCCACAAGAGGAAGACAGAATCCCCATCAGTAGCCCAAGCCCTATTCCTGGGAGGCCAGACATGTTGCCTCCCTCCAATCCTTTCACCAACCTTTCCTCCTGTAGCACCCACCACCTCTCTGCTGGATTTGATAATTCGCTGTAGTGACCACACAGAACTCACAGATTATGGGGTTTATTAAGGAAGCAACAGGCTACAATTCAAGTTCAGGAATGTACTCAGTCTCTCTCAGCCTGCCGTCTCTCAGCCGAGTCTCTCTCAGCAGTACCTGTCTCTTGAGGTCTATTTCAGCAATATGCCTCCCTTGCATCTCTCAGCCAGCAGTGAGAGATTTCTTCTGCCTCTAGGAGGGCCCCTTTTGAGCCTGGCAGAGTGGCCAAACTAACCAATCCCAACATCAGAATTCTATATACCTGAGAGAGAGCAAACTTCCCAGAAGACTGCTTTGTGCTGCTCCCAGTGGATAACTTTAACCATCAGGAGCTACTCAGTTGCTCACAGCAAACTCCACCACAGAGTTTACCAAGATTTATGGATAGAAAAGCCACACTATGTAATTTACTACATTGCAGCTGCCGTTAACATTCATGTACAGGTTTTTGTGTGAACATGAAGTTTTCATTTCTCTTGCATAAATACCTATGAGTAGGACTTCTGGGCCATATATATAGTGAATGTTTAATGACTAAACATTTGTTATAACAATTTAAATAAACCACAGAAGTAAGTACTTCTTTATTATTGACACATATTCTTCTGATATTTCATCTACATAGGCCAATGCAGGTATCATTTTACAGATGAATCAACTGAGAGACACGTTATGTAACTAATTTGCTTAAAGTGGCATGCTGCCATCCTGACTCTAAGTGCTGTAGGGGTCAGTTTCCTCCTCAGCTAAGAGCAGGCTTGCAGTACTCGATACCCACTCGCTTATGGACTATGTCATTATCCAGTATTTCGCATTCAAGGTAACAGTAAAAAAACTACTATTTTGTGTATTAACGACATTATGTCTGGCAGTAACGAATGTTCAGATGTAAGGCAAGAGTAATGCTGGCTGTGATGATTAAGGTTATGTGTCAAACTGGCTGGGCCATGATTTTCTGTGGCTTGGCAATTATGTAATGATATAATTTGGCTGTTAAGTTATAATGTCATCATTTTGTGATCTGATGTGGTCATCCACCACTTTCATGTAATGCCAATTTTCCCACAGCAACTTAGTGTGTGGAACATAATAACTATGTTGATAAGTGAGGAGTAGATGTAGTTATTCCAGGACTAGCAAATGACAAATTATCCTTCTTCCAGCTTGCCATGTATATTACGACCTTAAGGCTCTGGTTATTGATATAACTTCATCCAAAAAAGGCTAACCTAAGAGGACTTTTTCCTCTTGCTCAGTTATTAAATTTCATTTTGTTGTTGTTTTAGGTGCTGTTGAGTAGGTTTCAACTCAAAGTGACCCTAAGTACAACAGAACAAAACACTGCCCAGTCCTGCTCCATGCTCACAATCACAGCAATGCTTTAGCCCAATGTTGCAGTCGCTAGGTCATTCCATCTTGTTGAGGACTTGCTCTTGTTCACTGACCCTCTACTTTTATCAAGCATGATATCCTTCTCCAGGGACTGTTTCCTCCTGGTAACGGGACCAAAGTATGAGAGACAAACTCTGGCCATTCTCACTTCCAAGGAACACTCATTCTGTCTGTATTTCTTCCAAGACAGGTTTGTTTGTTCTTCTGGCAGTCCATGATATATTCAATATTCTTCACCAACACAATTCAAATCCATCAATTCTTCTGTGGTCTTTCTTATTCATTCTCCAGCATTCACATACCTATGAGCCTACTGAAAATACCAGACACACCTTAGTCTTCAAAGTGACATCTTTGCTCTTTAACACTATAAAAAAGGTCTTTGCATCAGTGCAAATATGCCATTTGATTGTTCAGTGCAATACGCTACTTGATTTCTTGACTGCTGCTTCCATTGGCATTGACTGTGGATAGAAATAAGAGGAAATCTTTGACATCTCCAATCTTTTCTCCCTTTACCATAATGTTGCCCATCTGTTCAGTTGTGAGGATTTTTGCTTTCTTTGTGTTAAGGTGTAATCCATAATTAAGACTGGATTCTTTGATCTTCATCAGCAAGTCCTTCAAGTCTTCTTCACTTTCATCAAGCAAGGTTGTGTCATCTGCATACTGCAGGTTGTTAATGAGCCTTCCTCCAATCCTTGATGTTGTGTTCCTTCTTCCAGCTTCTTGGATTACTTGCTTAGCTGACAGACTGAATAAGTACGGTGAAAGGATCCAGCCCTGACACACACCTTTCCTGATTTTAAATCATGCAGTATCCCTTTGTTCTGATCGAATGACTGCCTCTTGGTCTATGAACAGGTTCCTCATAAGCAGAATAAAGTGTTCTGGATTCCCATTCTTCACACTGTTACTGCAGTATAGTAAATTACATGATATGGCTTTTCTAGCTATAATATTTGTAACTCCCACTTTGCCGTGAGTAATTGAGTAGCTGCTTGTTAAAGTCAGCCACCTGGAACAACACAAAGCAATCTTCTGGGATGTTCGCTCTCTCTCAGGTGTATAGAATTCTGATATTAGGATTGGTTATCTCTGGCCACTCTGCCAGGCTCAAAAGGAGCCTTCCCAGAGGCAGGAGGAGCCTCTCTGATTGCCGGCTAAGATGTGCTGCTGAGAGACACGTGCTGCTGAGAGACATGAGAGAGACACGAAAGACATGCACTGCTGAGAGAGACTGAGCATGTCTCTGAACTTGAATAATAGCCTGTTGCTTCCCTAACCGACCCCATAATCTGTGAGTTCTGTGTGGCCACTGCAGTGAATTATCGAACCCAGCAGAGAGGTGGTAGGTGCCGTGGGAGGAATGGTTGGTGACAAGGGTAGTAAGAGGGTTGCAGGGTGGTGGCATTTCAGGCACTGGGCTGCTGATGGTGATTCTGTCTTCTCGTGTAGTTAGAGGAGGTCAGCAGATGCCGCATCCCTGCCTCTTCGGCAGTTATCCATAATTTGTTATTATCCACATAGTCAAATCAATTTGTAGTCAATAAAACAGGTAAACATCTTTCTAATATTCTTTGCTTTCAGCCAAGATCTACCTGACATCAGCAATGATATCTTTCTTTCCCATGTCCTCTTCTGAATCCAGCTTGAATTTCTGGTAATTCCCCGTCGATATATCAAATTTCATATGTTATCAAAATTAAAATAAGAAAAAGCTTACCCGTAGTCTTCGGATTTGGATATCAGAGAACTTTCTCACTCCATTTATTGATGGTACCAAACGATTAAAGAGAGCCTTAAACAAAAGGAGGGAAGGAGTTTTAAATGAGAGGAGCCCACCGCCTTGCTACCAGCACCATCAACACTAATTCACGTGCTTCAACTCTTTCATAAGTGCTCAGGGATTCATGGGGCACCAGCACCCTACCTTGTCTGTCTGTGTCAGTTCATGGAACATCCGGGCATCAATGGCTGCAGCAACAAGATTATTGGCTGCAGTGATGGCATGGATGTCACCTGTGAGGTGGAGATTAAACTACAAAAGAACAGAAGCCACAATGATTTCTTGACCTCCCTATACCTTTCCAACTTTCATTCTATGGCAACCAAACTGATCCCCATGATAAAGCCAAAGGAGCACAGTGAATGTATAAACACCAAATAGAGATAGCTCTTGAAAACAAAAATTACTGACTGCCCTCAGAAGAAACTCCTCCCAAACTCAGAAGTTGTGGTTTTCCCTAAATGACATGTCCAGAAACCACAAACTCCATACCACCAGGGTCAACAGCAACACTGTCCTCTAAGCAGTGAGTGAAAAGGCACACACTACAGCAGCAAGAACTCTGTGTCTTCACGCACTGCTTTCCCTTCTGGAGTTAAGACTCAGAATTCTCTGGATGTTGGTTCCTCTTAACCTCATGCTTCATTTGGTCATTTACTTGAAACTATTATTCCCACTAAAAGCCAGACTTTGAAATCCATGGCATGTGAAAACACCAAGCTGTCTCCTAAATCTACAAATTGATTTTTCCCTGTAAGTGTTGCTCCTGCAGACAAGCATGTCTCTTGTCCACTAAGAATTCTCCAAAAAAAGTTAATCTCTGGAGGGAAAACTGTAATAAAGGATCTGATTCAGTCAAATCCCAGAATACTTTACCTCCTCCATAGGAATAACCTGCGAGTAGCCACCTCCTGCAGCGCCACCTAGAGGACAGGTCAAGGGTGAGGACTCATATTGAGCATTCTATTCTGAGACTTGGAAATCAATTAAAAGCAAATCAGGTTTTTTTTCCAATTACTGCACCCATTATTTTTGAAAAAAATGGGTACAGTAATTACTGTACCCATTATTTGGGAGCTCTGGTAGCGTAGTGCCTAAGGCACTTGACTGCTAACCAGAAGGCTGGCGGTTCAAACCCACTAGCCACTCCTCGGAAGGAA